CCCCATTAAAGCGATTGGGGAGAAGGTGGGCGCAAGCTCGATGGCGGCTACAGGGTAGGCGCAAGCTTGATGGTGGCTGCAACACGGACGCAAGTCGGTCGACGGTGGCGGTGCGAGCGCAGGAGGCTGGGGCGATTGGCGGTGGATGTCTCAGACGCAAAGGCAAGGGGGCGAAATACGGAACCTTGGGGGCGAACCCCATGGTTTTATAGGGGCGACGGGCGCGAGAAGGGCAACCGTCCGCCTCGATCTCCGGGCCTGCCACGCGCACCGCCGCGTCACGTCGCGGGACACATGCCCACAGTCCCTGTCCTTTCCCATCGAAAATCACGGTGGACAGTTCGTCTTCCCCAGGCGAATCCGGACTCTATTCCCACCTGGGGAAGGCAGGTCACAAAGATTTTTTTCTATTTGGCCCACCTAGGGCCCAGAAGACTCGGCGGCCAGCCCAACTGAGGACGGGTCCGCGAACGATCCGAAATCAAGGGCGCAAGCATTACTGGGGTCTCGATCCATGGTTAAGCCCCAGTTAGGTCAGCCCTGATTGAGATCCCCACGAACGGGATACCACGACCCCCTCGAAAAAATATCCAGTTGACGAAAAAACCAAGTCCTTCAGCCTTACCCGCGAAGGGTCCGATACAACCCCCCAGGCGGTTCTATCCGAATCACCTGGAGGCTCAGGGGCTACACCCATCGGGTGCGCTCGCGCACACTCTCTGGCGAACTAACTCCGATGAAATCGAAACACCCCCAGGGGCGATTCTACCCAAACCACCCAGGGGCTCAGGGGCTACTGTCGGGAACCTAATACCGGGGTACCTAAGGAGATGGAACTAAATAACCATCGAACGTTAAAAACTCCCGAACGAACAAGACCTCCGCTGCGCTTCTTGCCCGAACGACGGGAGTTTTGGTTCCACCTCACCCGATGCCCATCAGCCAGCTCCGCCTCCCCCGACGGCTGGGGAATGGCTCCACCTCGCCCGAGGGCTGAGGGCTAGACTCCGCCTCGCCCGAGGCCCGTCGGCTGGCTCCGCCTTCCCCGACGACTGAGGGACGGCTCCGCCTCGCCCGAGGGCTGAGGGCTAGACTCCGCCTCGCCCGACCCCCGAGGGCTAGACTCCGCCTCGCCCGAGGCCCGTCGGCCGGCTCCGCCGTCCCCGATGGCTGGGGGACAGCTCCGCCTCGCCTGAGGGCTGAGGGCTAGACTCCGCCTCGCCCGACCCCCGAGGACTAGGCTTCGCCTCGCCCGAGGCCCGTCGACCGGCTCCGCCTCCCCCGACGGCTAGGGGATGGCTCCGCCTCGCCCGAGGGCTGAGGGCTAGACTCCACTTCGCCCGAACCCCAAGGGCTAGGCTCCGTCTCGCCCGACCCCCGAGGGCTGGGCTCCGTCTTGCCCGACCCCCAAAGGCTAGGTTCCGTCTCGCCTGATGGACCTTGTCCCGCCCGATGTCCAAGGATTGGCTCTGCCTTGCCTGACAACCGCACCCCGCTCTCTCATGATGATAGGCACGGGGTAAGACAAGACGTTCGGGTCAACCATGGCACCAAAAGACCATGTCCTACGCCCCTGCAGGAAAGTACCGTCAGGACGGGTGCTTAGACCCTTCCAAGCGTAACAGAGCCTGAATAGTGTTGTAGGCGCGTACTCTTCGCCCTACAGTGTTGTAGACGCCGCCTTCAACCCACCAGGCGAAGAACCTGCCACGGACATACGACAACCACTACGCTCCAAGGAGAGACTCCCGTCCTCTACAATGGCAGAACAAGCAGTCACCGCGACATCCGCTCCCTACGGGGTCGGGGTTCAGCAACCCTGTCCAACACGCCGCCCGTAGGGGTGGGATGGGACGCACCCACTTGCTACAAGAGGCCAGGGCATGGCCTACGAAGATCAGCGAACACAACACTTCTGACACTGTCTGCCATGTTATACAGTGCAGGCGCTGGGAAAAAGGAAGACCCAAATCCTTCGAAGGACCTTCTATACCCTTGGTGTTTTCCTCTTTCTCCCATCTATAACCCCTGCTCCCCACTTGGTCTATAAAAGAGAGGGCAGGGCTCCCCACTGGGGGGACGAAAAACAAGGCAACACACACACATAGTCAAGCTGCGACCAAGCTTTTGGCTTCCTTTCGACCCTTCCAACAGAGACTTGGGACATATCCCTCTCTTGATCGTTTGTATCCCCTACTATGAACCATTCACGGTGCTAATAACACGAGCAGCAACAAACTGGACGTAAGGATATTCAGCCCGAACCAGTATAAATCTTGTGTCCTTTAGCGCACCATCCAAGCCTAACGCGCATTACTATAAATTTACTTGTCGGTGCTTGTACGAAACACCGACAACTTCCACTTGATCCAGGGAAAAGACAGTCCATTGCAAATTATCCTGTTAATGATCAAGATGCAGTTCGACGATCTTATATCATTAAAGGCCCATACCAACCTTATGCTCATGAATTTGAAACTAGAAAAAATAGACATAGGGATCGGCAATTCAATCCTATATGGTTTTATAAATATCCTTGGATTGAATATAGTATCAAGAAGGAAGCAGCATTTTGCTTTGTGTGCTACTTGTTTGTAAAGGAGAAAACTAAAAAATCTGCATTTATTGAAGGTGGCTGGAGAACTTGAATAGAAATGATGCACTTGATTTACATGTGGGTGGTGTAACAAGTGCTCACAATGCAGCTCAAGAAAGATACAACTTATTTATGACTCCCCATGGAGCAATTGATGATAAAATTGTGAAGGTGGATAATGAGGAGCGGCGTCTCTACAAGATCAGGTTGACTTATTCACTTAGATGTTTGAGGTTTCTTTTGAAGCAAGAGTTAGCATTCTGTGGGCATGATGAAAGTGAAGAGTCTAGCAACAAAGGAAACTTCATTGAGCTTTTGAAGTGGCTTGCAGCAAATAATGAAGAGGTGGACAAGTTCGTATTGAAGAATGCTCAAGGTAATTGCACTTTGACTAGCCCAGACATACAAAAAGAAATTATTCAATGCTGTGCAATGGAGACTAGAGATCAAATCATTAAGGAAATTGGTGAAGATCATTATACAATTTTAGCTAATGAGTCTAGTGATGTCTCTCATAAAGAACAACTAGCCCTTTGCTTGCGTTATGTTGATAAATCAGGAAGGCTATGTGAGCGGTTTCTTGGAATTGTTCATGTAGATGATACTACTTCATCATCACTTAAGGAAGCAATTCAATCATTACTAGTTAGTCATGGTTTGACTATAACTCAAATCCGTGGTCAAGGCTACGATGGGGCTAGTAACATGAAAGGAGAGATTAAAGGGCTAAAAACCTTGATTATGAAAGAATCACCATCTGCTTATTATGTTCACTGTTTTGCACATCAACTCTAATTGGTTCTTGTTGCTGTTGCTAAAGACAATGATGATTGTGTGTGGTTTTTTGATCGAGTTCCCTCTTGCTAAATATTGTTGGTAGTTCTTGTAAGCGTCATGGCATGCTTCGACATCACCAATATGCCAATGTCATGAAAGCACTTGAGTGTGGTATACTAGAATATGGAAGTGGGTTAAATCAAGAGATGGGGCTGCCTAGACCTGGTGACACTCGGTGGGGCTCTCATTATAAAACTGTGGTCAACATGATTGCTATGTATCCCATAATTCGCGATGTACTCATAGCTCTTGGACAAGATACTTCACAAAGGGGTGAATGGCCAAAAATACATACTATGGTTGGAGTGTTTGAGTCATTTGATTTCATTTTCAGTGCTCATTTGATGCTTGACATTCTTGGACATACAAATGAATTGTCTGAGTGTTTGCAAAGAAAAGACCAAGATATCCTTAATGTAATGTCACTTGTCCGTTTGGCAAAGAGTAAAATGCAGCAAATGAGGTCTGAAGGGTGGGTGGGTTTCATTTCTTCAAAGGGTTACAATATTTTGCAACAAATATGGCATTCAAGTTCCTGGAATGCAACATAATTATGTGGAAGATCAGCACGTTTTGCTCAAGACCAAACAAATGATGATCACTTCAGAAGAGAAGTATATATTGGAGTCATTGATAAAATTAGTCAAGAGCTTGACAGTCGGTTTGATGAGGTAAATATGGAGTCGCTTACTTGTATGGCTGCTTTGAATCCAGCAGATTCATTCGCTTCTTTTGATGCAAACAAGGTACATAGACTTGCTAAATTTTACCTTAATGATTTTCAAGCTCTGACTTGCTAAGACTCGATCTGCAACTTGAAACTTTTATTGATGACATGAGAAAAGATGAAATGTTCAAAGGCCTAAACAATCTTGTTGACCTCTCAGTAAAACTTGTTGAAACAAAGAGGGATAAAGTTTATCATTGGGTCTATTTACTTATCAAATTGGTATTGCTTCTACCGGTGGCTACTGCAAGTGTTGAAAAAATATTTTCTGCAATGACCTTTATCAAGAATAAGTTGAGAAATAAGATGGGTGATAGCATTCTCGATGATTGTCTAGTGACTTTTATTAAGCGGGATATCTTCTTACAATTGAGTGAAGAAGAGATCATCAACACTTTCATGGCTATTAAAAGGCGAATGCCTGACAAAAAGAAGAAGAAGCAGTGATATATTCTTCTTCAACTATTATAGGTATGTAATATTTCGATCAATTCTACGTTAAGAAAGCTGTACTCGTCTATTTTATGAACTCTATATGTTCTTTTTTCCTTAATTGTATTTTGTAATTCATATACTTGTATACTGATAAGTTAAATTTATAGCGGTTAAAAAAATTTAGACAATAGACCACTGTAGCTATAAATCTGGCTACGCTGCTGGGACTTGAGCAGAGGCTGGACTGCTAGTGCACCATGACGAACAGCTCATCGTTGAGACTCGAGATCATAGATATTGCAGAAGTACTTGCTCCCTTTGGGGACCACAAGCCCCCACCCCGCGGCAGCAGCTAGCACCGCGGCCGGCGCCTTGGCGTCGCTGTCCAGGAACCGTACCGCACGGATGTTGGCGCCGGCCTTCTTCTTCTCCGGCGCGGGCGCGAGCGCCCCGCCCCCCGCGGCCACCGTGGCGGCGGCGATGCTCGTACGTATGGGCCGCAGGCGGCGGTGCTGCGACGACCCCGCCTTCGACGACGATGAAGCCGGCGATAGCTGCGTTGGGCGAATCTAGACTGGGCTCTATCCCGCGAGTTCGCGTCGCGCCGGCAAACTCCCGAGGTTCCGATGGGTCTGGAACTGGGCCGAAAGAAATGGTGCCTGCACGGACGGCTCGATTGAACTCAGCACGTGAATTGAACGGCCGAGAAAAACTGGCGACGTGGCCCAATGAACGGCCTGAGCTTGGCTCAGGTTTAGAGACATAGAGATATGCAATGTCACAACACATCAACTAATTAACTAACAGCTTTTTTCCCCTAAAAACAAATGCAATTTGGTTGGTCTAGTCGACACAAGCGAGGAGAGTAAGAAGGGGCAGCTGATTCACAATAGTTAGTCTAGTCGATACAGGTTCCATGTAAGAAAGTTTGTTTCACATAGGATCAAGAACTTAATTAACCCAAACCCAAAACAGTATTGGGTATACCAATACATGTATATGATAGAAGATTGCTAGGGGATCCGAACGTCATATTGTTGTTCGGTGTTGCATAGGCTTGTAAACCTGAAATATTTAGACATGCTATATCACATACATTCATGATGAGAACTAGGCCGGGTGCTCTCCTCCCAACGGGCAAACATGAAGGCCCTCTTTGGAACACAGGAAAGCAAAATCGCATGAATAGGAAAATCATAGGAATATCACAAGAATGTAGTTGCCAAACAGAGGATTGAAAAACATAGGGATTTTGATGGAGTCATCATTTGGACAGGACACAGGAGAAACGTAGGATTTCTACCAAGAGCTTTGAGTGGATGTTAGATTTCCTGTAGTTTTCCTCAAAACAGCAGGCGAAGGAAAAATTCCTGCATTATTCCTATACTCCATTCCTATGAACCAAATGCATGAACAATGGAAATTCCTATAGGATTCCCGATCCTATGTTTTTCTTGTGTTTTTCCTATGAAGAAACCTAACATTGTTTCTTCGAGACATGTCCTGTCTGCTAACATTTTTTTTTACTTATTTTCAGAAGACATCTTGTTCTGTGTCAGGCTGTCCTTGTCTTCTGCCAGAGAATTACAGGATGGATGGCATCGCATTTGATTCACGTGAAGAGATTGGAATCAAATTCTTTACAGGTTCAGATGAACAGGAGGAATTTATGAAATTGTTGCTGTCTAAATGCAACACGGTAACCCTTAAAAGGGTGGACATTACGGTACCACTTGCCCCTAATTCTTCGGAGATCAAGGAGGTTGTTGAAAGGATCCACAGCGTGTGCCATCCTAACAGCAAGATCCAATTTAACGTGCACGCCATGCCGTTGGCCTCCTAATATAGAGGACGCTCGTGCAATAGCCCTTCAGTTGTACGAGAATACTGCTAGAAAGTCTAAGGGATTGAAGATCACAAAGTTGCTGCAATTTTATGTTTGTTTGGTTCTGAGCAATCAAAATTGTGGAAGGGAGTATATAACTAACATTTTTTGGTACTAAAGAAATTCCTACAAGCTGGTACCTCAACAGGGCTATATCAGGGCCACAGGTTTTCTCAGCTCACACGACATGGTTAGAAATTAATCTGAAATTTGCTTGTTTTAGTCTGGTATAGGAACCCGGGATTGTGGAAATTCTGGGGTTTAAGTCAAACCTTAGTGCAAGGTTCACCTTTGATTTTTATTATCTGGTGTGTAGTAAAACAATGCTTTTATGTTTTGGCTAAACTTTGGCTCGAATGTTGAACTGATAGTTTCAATGAAGTGCAATCTTACCCTGAATTTTGATAGTGAACCGGCAAAGTTGGAATTATGATTGAATTTGCTTGACTTTTTATTTGGACTGGTTAAACTTTGTCTGTGCCAATTGTAAAGCAACGAAGAACTTGAAACTGGTGAAATGTAAAATGCAAAGCTCGAATACATCTTCCTCATTATGCCAGGATTCTTAGGGATGGGAGGCCAAGGATTATTGTGTCCATGTTATTAGATAGGTTCTTATTGTACCTAGAAGCTTATACAAATTAAAATTAAACTGTGTCAAAAGAAGAGAGAGAATAATTTCGACTGATACTTCTGCGTGAAATTAAAAAGAACAAGTTCAACTGTTCAAGGATGCATTATTATTTTTATTTGATTTGACATGAAAAATGATGGCCCCATGGACCAAATAAATGGGTTAATTAATTCAATATTCTGCCTAATTTTTTAGAAAATTTGGGGCTGGTCAGATTAATTAGACTATATGGTTTTGTAAGAATACTGGACCTATAAATAATTTCTAAATAATTTGGGACCTATTTGTAAAATTTTGGATTTTACAGCTCCTTTCTTATTTTTTGTTTCTTTTTTTTTATTTTTTTCTTGAATTATCCCCAACGCAACCCAATTCATTGTTGGGCTGATTTCATGTGTTTTCCTGTCTTCTGCATACGAGACCTTTTTTTTTTCGGGAAACTTCTACATACGAGACCTGTAGCGGTTGGTTCATCCCATCCTCACTTTGGGCTGTTTGCTAGGCCGTGGACCGTGGGCCGTGGCAGGCGACACCTCCACGCCGGAGGCTTCGCGACCGGCGGTAGATCTCCCAAACGCCAATCCCATGTCCCAACCCTTCTCCTGGCCTATCTTTTTCTCCTCTCCACCAGAGCCCAGTGCAGCCCATCCGGACCTATCATTTCCTCCTGGCCCATCGTTTTTCTCCTCCTAACCAGAGCCCAGTGCAGCCCAGCCGGACCAATCCTTTCCTCCTGGCCCATCTTTTTTTCTCCTCCCTACCAGAACCCAATTCAGCCCATCGGATCTCCGGAAATCATCCCGTCCGAACGTTCGCACGGGACCGCGCGCAGGAACGGAACGACGAGCGCGGGAACCGCGGCATGACGCCCTATCGCCGAACAACGAAGCGATTCTGTACGTAGGACTAAAAGCATTTGGGTGCGGGTTCGAACAGCATTTGGGCTGCTTAATTTTATTATGTTGCCGGCCCATGGAACAGGAACAGGAACGTCCGATTTGTTTTGCTTTTATTTTATTTTATTATGTTTTCTTTCTTTTCCTTTCTTTTTCCTTTTTCCTTTATATTATTTATTTTTCAATTCTTTATTATTTTTATTTTTCACTTTTTCTTTCTTTTCATCTATTTTTTATTCTTCTTTTCATTTTTCTCTTTATCTTTATTTTATTATTATTTTTTATTTACATGTTTTATTATCATTTTTTCTTTCTTTTTTGATCTTATTTTCTTTTCTTTTTAAATTTTTTTATTTTGTTTTTCCTTTTCTTTTTACTTATTTCCCCTTTTCTTCTTACTTATTGTTTACTTTTTTCTTTTTTGTTTTCTTTCTCTCTTCTATTTTTTATTTTTTATTTGTTTATAGTTTTGTATTTTCATTTTTATTCTAATGTCATTATTGTATTTTATATCATTCATTATTTTCAACATAATTTTTTCATTTTTATGTTTTCTTCTTCTATTATTTTTTTCCTTTCTATCTCTTTTATATTTTTCTACGGATTTCTTGTTTTTATTTTGTCGGGTTCATAAACCCGGGGTCCCTCACGGACCGGCTTCCCAACAAAGGCTCGGCCCAAGCAGACAGCGTATAACTCATGGGTCGGCCCAAGTATCTGAACAACAGGCCAGAAGGGCGATCCAATCACCGATCGGAAGGCTCAGCCGAAGAGGAGCGGCGCCCGTTTTCTGGCTCCGGCCCACCTCTCCGACCGGAGCGCTCACTTCGATCTCCAGCCCGGCTCCGAATGGCCTCTCCGATCGGAAGGCCTGGTCAAAGCACTACTTCCGACTTCGACCCCACGTCTCCGATTGGGGTACGCTAAAACCCTGCTCACTGCTCTTCTTCGTTTGGCGCAATCAGAGCCGACTAGGACTAACCGATCGGGGACGTCCGCTCGGAAAGGACCTGGGAACGAACGAAGAAAGTAAGGCAAGGCGCACAAAGTCAAACCACGATACCAGGGACCGTACCCTGTGCACCTGCAGAAACAGTACTCTATAACCTCCCTGACATAAACAGTGTTGTAGGCGCCGATATTTTCCCTACAGTATTGTGGATGCCATTAACTCCCATACGGTAAGGCTCCTCCACATGCCTCTAGGCATCAACAGTGTTGTGGGCGTCGGCATTTACCGTATCGAGTGAACATGGTGAAACTTCTCACATGCCTCTGAACATCAACAGTATAGCAGGTACCGACATCTGCCATACCCGAACAAAACGACGCAGCCTCCCACGTGCATCCAACATCCAACAGTGTTGTGGGCGCCTACCATCATCTTGTACCCACCGGCATGGGCAACAAAGCTTAGAAGCATACGTACTCTCTCCCTCTCACTTGTAAGGCCATCTCCTTCATCTATAAAAGGGAATGCGCTCTCTCCCAACATTCAGGTGATTCAAGATTCATTAGATCAATCAAGTTCACTAGTACACAACCACAGAACCACCACAGAACCACCAGGTTCGAACCACAAGCACACGCTTGACCACTTATCTCATAGCGGGGCTCCCGTCACTCTCGGCCCTTCCGATCGGAGTTTGACCTGACCTCTTGTTCACCTCATCTTTCTCCTTCTCGTTTATAACCCCACTACAAACTTCGAGCATCTGGGCTCAGGAATAAAGTCACCGATCGACTCAAACTGGACGTAGGGCACGTTGCCTGAATCAATATAAACCCTGTGTTATTGAGTGCTAGGTCACCTTCGATCACAACATACGATAAAACTATAAATATTTACTTGTTGGTCACTTTCTGCACTGACATATTTTGTTTTATTTTCTTGTTTTTTTATTTTACTTTAATTATTTTATATTTCCTACATTCTAGGAGATATATGTTATGTTTATGTAGCATATGTGATGTTCATAAGGTATACATTTGATGTTCTATGATATATTTTATGGCATTCATGTTGTATGCACGTGACGTTCTATAATATACTGTGATGTTCAAGCAGTATAAATGAGATATTTTACAAGTATATTTTGTTTTTTCATGTTTACCTTTTTAATTTTTATATTCCTGGAGATGTTACGATGTTCATGTAAAATACATGTGATGTTCTATGATGTATTTTGTGATGTTCACAAGTACATGTAATGTTCTATTGTGTATTTTTTAATATTCACGCAGTATACATGTGATGTTCTATTATGTATTTTTTATGTTCACATAATATACATGTGATGTTCACGCAATATACATGTGATGTTCTATGATGTACTTTTTGTTATGTTCATGTGGTATACATACGCTGTTCTATGATGTTTTTGTGACGTTCCTGTGGGATACACGTGATATTCTATGATATATTTTGTGATGTTCATGTAGTATACAATGATGTTCTATAACGTATTTTATGATGTTCGTGTAGTATACATGTGATACTTTATGATGTATTTATAATATTCACATGATACACATGTGATGTCCTATGAATTTTTTGTGATATACTATGATTGTGTGATATGGTTTATAATAGTATAAATATTTCATAATTGAGACCAGTCATGTTCATTGTGTAGTGGTGAGGAAATATTCGCATAGTATCGGTGAGATGTTTTGTGGTATACTCTAGGTTGTTCAAGTAGTATTCGCATGTTGTCTTTATTTCTCCTCTTTTTACGTGAACTTTTTCCTTTTCATTATTTTTGTTTTCCCTTATGCTTGTTTGTCTTTTATTATTTTTTCAATTTTTTATATGTTACCCCCTTCGTTCCAAATTATAAGTCGCATTGATTTTTTTGGTACATCTATTTTGTTATGCATCTAGATATAATAATATGTCTAGATACATAACAAAATGAATGAACCAAAAAAGTCAAAGCAACTTATAATTTAGAATGAAGGGAGTATGTTATTATTTATCTATTTCTATATATTTCATATATTTTCGCATTCATTTTTCCTCTATTTTCATAGATATTATAATACGATTCACATGAACGTAGATTGTTTTTATCCTAAATCTAAAATATTATCCTCCTTAACTTAGAACATTGTTTTATGATGACGGAACATTTTATCATCGATCTAGAACATCTTGTACGTAATAAAAAGAATTGTTCTATCTTTCATAGATAAATATTCGTCAATAAAATTTTATCTAAATATATCCATGTGAGATCTTGTTTTAAAGAGTTTATTGTAAGGAATACGATGGTGCAATTGGATTTTAATTCCGATACTTGGTTTAGCACTATGACTTTTTGTTTACTTTAAAAAATAATGGGCATACGCTGATGTCATCAATTTCAGATCTTCCTGCCTGCCCTGTAAAGAAAACGAAAAAAAAATGCCGGCGCACACGCTTCTGC